GTATATATGTGATTATATATAGAATTATATTAAATTGTTCAGTGCTTTTAATACTTAAAATAAGTAATTAATCACTATCTTCCAGTATTATATTTCTATAATAATTCCCCTGTTGTCATTGCAAGGCACAAGCCTTGCATTATGGATTAAAAAGAAATTGTTAATGGCGTTCCAAAATCCTGTTTCGTGAATTTTGAGATTTAATGAATGGATCGAGTAGATCGTAACGCGAGAAAGAGATAAGAAATCTTTATATTTTTGCGTTTTACTAACTTCCAATAGGCATGCGCAAAGCGTATCGTGCCACCAAGGCGAACCGCGTGCCAAATGGCGCCAAAACCGAAGTCCATCCATCCGAATGTTTAGATATCACATTGGTAAAAATCACTCGTATATAACTACGTTGCGTATGTTTAGGCACATGCGTCTCACATGAAGTTTCCTGTGAATGGAGGATTCACGATGTCGCAACATGGGGCTACTTTACAAACTTATAATCAGGAACTCGTCAAATGTAATTCGTTTCTTTCGTTTAACCTAAAATTTGTCATCGTTATTCAAACCTTGAAGTGCCTTTCCAAGGCACTCTATTTCGCTTGACATTGTAATTTGAAATCTTTAAACAAGTCGAAATCATCTTTGATCATCTTGATGATCTCTCATTGGGGATTCGTGCTAATAAAAAAAAAAAATTATTTCTAGGTTTAGAAGAGATGAAACTGAAGCGGTCAGAACTGCAAGCTCATATAGAAGCCCAAGAACAAGAGAAGAACAGTTTACAACGCGAAATCGAGAAGATGTCGTGTAAACTTACGCAACTGAATGATAGCTTGGCGAAAAGAATCGCCGTTAGAAATGAATTCGACAGAACTATCGCCGATACTGAAACAGCATATGTGAAGGTAAAGGTTATATCTCTAAGTGGTTTATTTTAATGGATTTTGTATCTCTCTAATGTTGTATGTAATGTTTACCTTATAGATCCTAGAAAGTTCTCAATTATTGCTTAATATGATTAAAAAGAAGCTGTAAATCTAAATCAGACTTTAATGAGAACTGAAATTGATAAGCAGCAACATCGACAATAAGGTATCAATTAGAAAATTTCTAAGATAAAATTTCCAAGGGACCAGATATCTAGGAAATATATTTATTAAAATTATTAATAGGTGGGTTGTCACAAATAATTCAAATACAAAATTGTAAATATATAGATTTTAAGAACATATTAGGTTTTCATAGCCTTTGCAAAATTTATTAACTGTGTGTATGCATATGTAAATTATATTACTATTTTATAAGATTAATTCTAATCAGTCTATTTGAGTGTGTAATTAAATAAAAGTTAATCGACCAGTAATTCTATTTATAAACTTGAGCAACAAATACATATTTGATGTGATAATTTATCATGACATGATTTTAAGTACTATTAATAGTATTATTTTATTTAAATGCATTGTTTGAATGATATATGTATACTACTTATTACAAGTGTACAACTACATAATTACTGTACAACTACTTATTACAAGTTAAATTTTATATATATATATATATATATATTTAAATTTAGCCTAAAAAATTACAGAATATTTTTTAATAAATATTTAACTGTTTTACGTAGCTATAACTTTATATTCCATCTTTCTTTGTATATATAATATATACATATTCCTCCCTCTTCTTCTGCATATATGTGTATACATATATGCATTATATCAGAACATTCTTAAGTATTTTCGCCGAAATATGCTATTATAATATTTCATTTTCCACATTTAAGTAAAAAGTAAACATAAATCTATAATATACCCGGAGAACATTCTGACGTCTCTGAGATATCTTAAAGATGTCCTAAAAATTTTAAGATGTCTTTTTAATCGTCTTAGACGTTTAACAAACGACTATAAGATATCAAAATCGAAAAGACGTTTCATAGATGTCAGAATGTTCTCTGGGTATGTTATTAAACTTTTTTTTACATAGTTTTAAGCATTTCCTAGAGCTTTCTGCTCATTCCACACTTGTAAAAGTTCGTTTGGATCTTCGTATCCATGAGACGTTATGACATACTTGTAACTATATTTTGTATAAGCTTTTTTGTAAAAGTGAAATTCTTCGCAATGAAACGGTATTATATCGGCTTTTTTTGCTATTAGACCTAGAAAGATATCGTCGAATCTAAAGTGCTTAGTATAGAAACTGGTATAATATAAATCCAAAAGAGCTTCCTTAGACAAAATATATGCACCAGCTGTGACATAAGGTGGCCATAAGTGATATGGATATTCTTTTAATGGCACATACCACTTAGAAAATTTATGTCGATGTGGTGCAGATCGCGTGAATACGAATCCCGCAAATAGTCTGTCATCTGGTAATTCAAGTTGTCGTTTCACTCTATTCGATGTGGATATATTTAGTCTGAGCAAATGTTCGTTTTCTACTTTATACTTTTCATCGTTCTGTCCAACTCGTCCATTATATATATTATTTTTTTGACTATTATTTGTAGATTTATGAATGGTCAAATTTTGTATAGATATTTCATTGATTTTTGAGCTATATGTTACATTTATATTATTGAAATTGACATAATCCATTAAATCTGATTGTTTGATTTCTCTTTTGTGTACACTATACACTTTTCTAGATTCCATTAAGTAAAATGGATAATTAGCTGGGTTTCTAATAAATGTTGCTACATTTTTTACCGATACATATATATCATCGTCGACAAACATATAAAATTTTGAGTTGGAACAATACTTCACTAACCACTTGAAACTCATCATTGTTTTTATAGTATTATTATAATATGAATCTACAAAGTCTGCTTGCACAATATCTTTATAGATCGCCGCCTCTAATTTTAATTTGGCCTCCACTTCCTCATCATCTGGATGTGTGCCCACCACAAAAATAGTTCTTGCTGGCACATCAAAGAATCTCTTTTCGTTTCCCCATGAATTACGTATAGCAATCCTTCTATCAAAGTTCTCTATAGCAGACTTCACTATGTATACAAGGCGAAGAGTATCATCTGCATCGTCTTTGCATTTTTGTGGTTGTTTTAAGATAAAAGAATATGTATATTGGTTTATAGGCTTAACTTCAGGTTTCTCATTACGTCGCAGAGCGTTCACAAATTCGTGAACGTTGCCCTCGTACGGATATACAAAGTTTTCATCGTATGTGATTTCAAATAAGTGCACAAATGCTCCAAAAAATTCTAATAGCGCTATCGTACCAAAGAAAAAGAGCACATATCCCAGTTTGATTTTTGATGTAATACGACGGCACCTTTGACAGTAAAGACGGAATAAATAACATTCGAGCAAATAGCAGCACATTTTGTCAGTCTGTTCTGTGCATAATATTCTATGCAAATTCTCTTCTTCAAGTTCTTAACCCTGCAATAGAATTTTTTTATCATTTAATCGATCGATTTTTATTTTTCATGACGGTTCCTTCAATTTTTCTTCCTCTATATCGCGAAAATGAATAAGCAGTTATATTATATTCTATATTAGAAAACAAATAATTTTTTGTGCATGTATAATAATCTGTAATAATTTAATTAAATTAATGATATCTGGGGCACGAGCTTCAATCATTTACAAATTGACAACTTACGGATTGTCGGCAATCATTTCTCGTTTAGGTAATACAGGCGAATATATATCTTTCATACATAAAATATTCCATTTTTAAAATATAAATATGAAAAAATGTAGCATTTTCTTTGTTTTTCCTTCAACGCCATTTAACCGGTCTCTATCAGGAGGATTCAGAAGTGAATCGTAGCACCTCTATAGGAGACCTGCCCGAACTAAAAGTCACGTGCAGCAAACTTGACAAAAGTCAATAATCACGTTTTGAAAAGTATCTTGTCACAATTCCAGAAAATGAAAGCGAAATAAATTTTTCGAGAATAATATTTTTTGCGATATCATATTTCAACATTTTTTCTTATAATGTATTTAAAACATAATTATATATGTACATAATATTCATATATAATTATATATATATATATATTATATTTATATTTAAAATTATATTTAAAATATAATTTTAAATGTGTGTGTCAAATATTTAAAAATAAAACATACATTTGATGTATGATTCGAAAAACGCAATAAAAAAGGGAGAAAAATTATGTTTAATTTTATATTAATTTAGAATAAAGATTATGTCCAATTATTTTATATCATTTTATATTCTTCATACATGTATATTGTATTATATCAAACTTATCGCATTTGGTCAGTTATTTTTTCGGCATCCGAGATGTTTGTGAAGTTGATCCTATCGCTCTCATTATCCACACAATGCTTGTTCAGCTGATGCGCCTACGGACAAACGCGATGATTCGGAAGGATGCACAGTTAGCCTTTTATTTCGGGTCCATTGGTTACCGATTGGCAATACGATGTCAAAATACGTCTGAATACGACCTGCGAAAAAATGGATATCATCGGTAATCATTGTATCAGCGATCTTTATATATTCGAGTCATGTTAATTATATCTTCGTGTACTTCGGATAATTCAAAATCTTTTTATACGATCGCTTCCGGTATATTTATTTCGCTTTAAGGGGATGAAAGTTTCATGTCATTGGCATATGTTACGCTTCCGTTTACGTCAATTTTTAATTTTCTGGAAATATTGATTTACGATAAACGCATTTAAACTTTATTTATCGATATAGTTTATTGAATGTTCAATTTCTATCGATGGACGATTTCTTTCATTTTGAAATTTTTCAAGCCTTAAAGATTGAATTTTTTCAACGTTTTTAAAGGTAAAAATTCTTTTCTCCTATTTTCCTAACAATCTAGAAACTCTCGAGAGGCAGCGATATAGATCATTAATATTTCCAGTTGTATATTATTGTTAATTTAGAAGATTTTTTCGTTTTGTACGATCTTAATTTTTTAAGCCTATAGTTCGTCGAGTTGCTGTTGTTCATCTTCGCGTGACCTGTTGAAAGGCAGGAATTCGATCCTTGCTCATTCTCGAACGTCGCAAATAAATCACAACCCGCGAAAACGGCGGATCTCCTTCCGCAGTCGGCGTTTCGTTCTACGATGTTCCACGACGTCGCTGATGGATCTTTATCGATCGGTCGAGCGGAAACGCGATCGAGCGAGAGGAATGTCTCTGACGGTGTTTTCCGCTCGAAGGAATTAGTCGCCGGCGACGTGGGGACCCCCTTCTTCGGCGTTGACGGCGCCATCGATCGCGTCTCATAACGGATGTTCCGACGTCTCGCTCAAACGTCTCTCGATCACCGATTCCGATAATTCGACGGATTATCAAGTCGAACGTCAATTACGTTGCTCGAAATTTCTAACTGATGATGGCATAGCTCAATGCAAATTCTTCGAGAGATCTGATTTGTAGATCGATCCATCCGTGTTTTTCGAGAGAAAATCATTTCTTTTTTAAATTTTATATTCGTTGAATATTATGAAAAATATCTTCTGTTTTGACGTAATATCCTTTTCTTAAAAAGCATTGCCGAGTCTGGAGGCTGAGATTCGTACGTAACGTGAAAATAAACGAGTTTATCATTCTTGACATTGTTTTGCGTTCAAGATGTCGGAAATGATATCTGCTTGAATTTAATTTTTTCTTGTGCAATTGTCGTAATACATTTACGCTAATTTTTTTTCTAGAATTCTTTAAATTTGTTGCATTATTTAATCCAATCCTATTCTAGACGCACAGAATGAAAAGATACAAAATTCCAAACGGGAATTTTTTTATCGTAAATAACGAATGTTTTATTTGTCAAATCAAACAATTTAATTATTACATTTCCTCAATATTTCAATCATTCAATACATTTTTTCAGTCGTAACAAAAAGAATCTTTGCGTAAAATGTGTGAAAAAACAATTGTTCGTGGATGTGATCGATGAATCGGCATCTTATGAGTGAGTGATCTCACTCGAAGGTTTACAAGACAAATAAATGGGACTCGGAGTCTGCAATATTACCCCATAAAAACATTCGTGTGAACATTCATCTACAAGTTGACAAAGACAATGAACTTTCTACGTGTTTTTCATTATCGTGAAGGATAGTCGTGTGTAATATCCTATTATTACCTGCGATAATCAGAGTAGTTGTGAACTCATGACATTCTCCAGTAAGGAAGGAAGTAACGATAATAATGAAATAATCGAGAGATATAATAACGATCTTGTCGATATAATTATTGTAAAAATTTTTAAAGGAAACATTACGGCGATTGCACATTTTATTAGTTATAATCCTGGTCAGTCGCATTTTAATTTGTATTGTATAATGCGCATTATATCTCCACAACGAAGTATTTGTCCGTAAACAACAATTAATAATAGATTGTTGTTTGTTCAAGCAGTTTGACCTTAATAAAGGGTTTAAGTCTATCGTCTATTACGTGTTTAAATAAACCCCGTATACACCTCGACGTTAGCTTCCCGGAGCTTGCGCAGTGTACATTTTTCTGGGGCAAGACCCATGAGGTGGATATGCCACAGGTGAACCTGTTAGAGTCTATCATGTCTTTACTGAAAGTAGATTTGCAGCTGACCAGAGAGAAAAAGAGAGAAAGACGACGGACGGCGTGTGAGAGAGACGCGAAACATTGAACGGAGCAAAAAGCTTCGGAATCGCTCAGACGACAGGCTCCTTTAACGTCGTTCCTATTTCGTATAATTAACAATCAACAATGCTGACGGGAGTGATAGACGGGTTCGTATGTCATAATTCCACTGGAAATCCTTCACTTTTCGACGACACGTGTCGTTCCACCTTACTCCCAATTGATCGTTGACGAAGTCGATTGAGCACGCGGACAATTCATAAATCAGCCTTAATGATCACGCTTGTCCTCGACGGCGATGACAGTCGTCGCTTCCTTTTCGCGATGTTCACGAGAGAATGTCCTGATGAAATAACCAAATTTTCTGTTAGCACGCAGTTGTGTTGCGAGGACGACAACTCCACTATCGGGCGCGCGCCTGTCGAGGACGACGCTCGAAATCAGGCGGTATCTCTGCTATGGATTTCTTATGGTGTCGTAGTCCCGATCATATTGGCCATCGGCGTCCTCGGCAACGCGGCGATCCTTGTCGTGCTGTCCGGCCCTGTGTTCCGGGGTATCGCCTACTTGTATCTCAGCGGACTCGCGCTGGCGCACATCGGCGTTACCCTGTCTTGGATAACAATCAGTTTGTACAATCCCGAGCCCCAATCAGCGTGCACTGCAGAAAAATTCAGCTGAAGACAAAAGAAATCAGCTGTCGTATCTACAATATTAAATTCATTTTTTATTAATCTTATATTCGTTTATCGTTTAATTTTATACTCGAGTACAATTAATGTCGCATCGACACACGGAAAGAATACTTTTGCTGTGGTATCTAAAAGCTCGATCAGATACAGATTTGAAAATAATTTTATTGGGCCACTAAAATATTAACGCAAGATGTTTAAATTGATTGCTAAAATATAAAAAATTTTTTATTACGATTTTTTATTACGATTTTAATAAGAATAATAATTTTGATGTCCCAACAAAATTATGTTTAGATCTGACCTAATTTTTAGACACTTCAGTAAAACTGTTCTTGCCACGCATAGCTTCGGTGCATGTAATTCTTGTTCGATCAACTTATATTTGTCTGCACAAAAGGGATATTTTTTTTCAGTGCATTCTGATAGTCATGTACTGATGTTCTAATATGATTATATTATTTCAGCACTGAGATTGGGCTATGGTATGAGCAATAATTACCCGGCAGCCTTTTACTATGCACATCTAGAGCTCGTCATTCTGAATGCCTTCTCAGCCGCCAGTGCTTTTATCATGGTCTGCTTAATCGTGGATCGATATATTTTTGTATTTTTTCCGGCACGCATTCGTACCGGAAACACGCGCAAGAATGTCAACAACTTCATATTGTCTTCCTTCATCGCCGGTTTCGTGGTAAATTGTTTTCGCATAAAAAATAGCGTTCTCTTTCTTATAAAAAAATTCGAATTTTTTTCTAAATAAATTAAAATTGAATGATTTTTCTATATTCCAATTTGTAAGAGCTTTCTATTATCGTAGATATCTTTGTATATTGGATGCTTTCCATTTAGTGACACAAGTCAACACAAATTGTTCTATCTTTCTTGGCTTTCAATGATTAACATGTACAAAATGATACTTGTGTCGACTTATGTCACTAAATGGAAAGCACCCATTGATTTTTATACAAACTATACATTTCTTAGAGTATTATAAAAAATTGTTAGACATAATCGCTGTTGATATCTAAAATATTAAATGCCGTCAATAACAATCATTAATGACGATTATGCATATAATAACTTTACATATGCATATAATAATTTTACATAATGAAATGTATAGGGTGCATTATACACGTTTTGCGTTTATAGATTAGTTGCCCATTATCAATCATGAGAATGGTTTATGCGGAACAAAACGGTTCCGGCACTTCTTTCGCGCTACGTGAAAATATGCGGGTTACGCAGAGCACGATGTGGAAAGCGTATATTTGGATAATGGAGATCGTGGTGCGGATTTGTCCGTCGATCTTATTTATTATATTGAACAGCTTGGTAATTAAGAGATTCCTGCAGTTGAACGCGCAAACCCGACAATTCAACGTCGCTTCGGACAAATTTCGGCCCAACAACGCGCCCGATATGTCGTTATTGTCTCGTAATCGAGGATACAAGTACAATAAAATATAAATAAATATATAAATAAATTTTATATTTTAAATTTTATATTTTATATTTTAAAGCAAAAAATTAGATACTACATTTTGGGTCTCGCCAAACCTCAAGCGATGCTTATAAAAATCACTCTTTGCAGAGAGGAGCAACACTTGGCGATAATGACGACAACAATGATATTGTGTTTCTTTGTAACGACAGTCCCGCCAAGTCTCACGCCGATGCTATATATCGATCATCACTCGTCGGATCTTGGTTATCAAACTTTCCGAGTGTGTTCGGCGATCGTTGAGCTCAGCAATTACGCCGTTTATATTCTTATATATCTCGTCTGCAGTACTGAATTTCGAAGGGAGTTGCTGCGAATTCTACAAGTGAGCTATAAATAGTACAATTGCACTTGCTCGTTGATTGCAAAATTCTATTATAAATTAACGAATTATATTTCTAATAAATTATCAGTCACGATTTAACATTTGTAATGTTTCGATTAGGCGTCTAAAGAGGCATATCAAAAATAAAAATTAAAAAATCGATTTAAAAAAGAAATAAATTCTTCATTATACATTTTAAACTGATTAAAATAATTTTTATTTTAAAGCAATTCGATCGCTTTAAATATTTGAAACATTTTTCTGTAAAATTGTCTTTTTTCATTATGTATCTTTTTTTTACATAGAATTACTAAATCGATTTTTCTAGTTTTTTTTTAATCTCTTAGAAATAAATAAATTATAATCGTTCACAATTTTAAAAGATTATAATTTCAAAAGTTACGAGCAATCAAAGTTGCAAGAAAATTAATCTTTTTAAAATTTAAAAAATGTATTTAAGAAACATTTATTACAATATACAAATATATGCCAAAAGATTGCCAATAAAATAAAGAAAGAATTGCATGTAAGAAATATAGAAATAATCTTGACGATTTCATAACTGCGATTTTTACCTATTAAGCTTTTGAATATAAGTTGATAATAATTGAAAACGACAGGAAAATTTGCAATAAATAAGACCGTACTTATATATGTTTTGTGAACAGGGCAGATGTAACGAAAGTGACGGACAAGATGCCGATCAACCGATAGGTGAAATCGAGGATTACAGCCGACATGGCACCACCATTCGTTTATCACCGGAACATACTAAATTAAATTCTCCGGAATCACCGACTAAAGAAATTAAATTGGAGGAAGAGACGAATCCGTCGGAGGCTACTGCTTTTATGTTAGAGAATCGTGTTATCACGTAATCACTTGCGCCTTGAATTCGATTATTTGTATTTGTTATATATCTGTCATTGTACCTTTCTACTTCATCCATGATGGAACTTTACCTGTAATTAATGATTCAAATTAATGTATGAAACAGTTTTATGTATTATACTATTATATTATAATTTTATATTACGTTAATAACATGTACATATATATTTCAATTTCTGTATTGTAATGTATAGAAATTTATAATTTATAATTACATCATAATTATTATGTAATTATATATATAAAAATTATAATTGTAATATATCGAAATTTCAATTCATTTGATGTGTATAAATTTAAAAATTAATATTGACTCTTTTCCGTTCATTCGTAAATTTTCATAAATTTTTTCCTTCTCAAAATATCAAAATTACGCATCTAATTGTTGCAGTCATAAAATACAAACTTCACTGCTTCTATGCATTTTCGCGCGCAAGTCCTAACCTAACGTGTCGCTCTTTGCTGACGATAATTTATAACCTTAATTTAACTCCGAATTGTCAAAGTATGAAATGACGTATATATAGTAATTACATGTTTAATCGTGAAGCAATTCGCGTTTCGACATAATATTTCATGTTATTTAAAATTCAGGTATTTATATAAGGAACAATATTTGAAAAATGATATTAATACATAGTTTATGTTAAGGATTAGAAAAAGAAATTTATAACATATCTGAATTTATAAACATATACGTATCTGAAACTTATAAGAGTTTCGCATACTGATTGTTTCTTAATTTTCCAGTAAAGTGCTTTGCTTAATGATGTTTGAGCTACCGGCAGAATTGACAGCTAAGCCTTTAGCACAAATAGGTCTGACTGGATTGGACATTACGAATCCAGTACACCGTTCTATCTGGGATGCATTCAGCAATAATCGTAGACTGGATTGCGCAGCCGTTCAGTTCAAGTTGCTCAGCTTGACACACGAATTTCCTACTGTCAAACCCAAAGTATCATGTTAATTTAATTATTTGAGATATATTTGTGAACAAGATATCTGTTTGATGTTATTTATTCAATGTCGCTATGTATTGTTTTTGTACATTTTAGCGTAGCTCGTACGAATGGTATATACCTAAAGGAATTTTAAAACGGAACTGGATGAACAAATATCTCAGTGACATTCCTTCTGTAGTTGTTGTGTTCTATGATTTGGATTGGAATGATCCTTTGTGGAATGAAAAAAGATGGAGTGTGCTTCTAGAGTGCAATCTTTAAGGTAACATTTTATAAGAATCAAAGGCAAGCAATTTTTTTATTGTATTGGATCTTAATGCCTAATAATTATTTTTTGAACTTTTATATAAAAATTGCTTATCTTATGTTTCTTATACTAAAATACTTTATTGTCCCTTATAGATTTCTGTATTTATCTTATCTATCGGGATGTGATAGTTTGATATTATTGTAACATTAAACTGAATGTGATATATTTTTTTAGAGCTGCCCTTGATGGAAGAAGTACAAAGATTGCTGTAGTATTGATACAGCATGCTGTTCAACCGCTTCCTGGTGCCGAGGATGTTGTTGCTACCGAGCGTGCAACAGCACTGTGTGGAGCTTGCGATTTAACAGCAAAACTTTTATATATCCTACCACATGCTGATCACTTATTGGGATATATATCTAGGTTTTTAACTTGATATAATTTTATTATTCTACATTTTCTTTAAAAAGAATAATATATTCTGTTTATTATAGACTGGAAACGGCATTCTACGATTTGGCACAAAATTTTTATCATCACGAATATCGAAATGTTAAAAGTCATCGTGATCAACTTACCAAGAATGTTCATCAATATCTGTTTGTTCGTCATCAATTTAAAATGGCATTCCTGAATGAACTCAAGCAGGAGTTACATCTTGCTCAAAAGTAAGATAAGAAATTTAAAGAGCTATGTATTACACACATGCACACGCGTACATATGTACATATATCTGTATGAATATTTTACAGGCATTACATGCAAGCTTATCACAATCTTCTAGAAACAAGAATGACAGATGCAAACGCAATAGAAATAAAAACTGTAGCTGGTTTTATAAATTATAAGTTATGTAGAATAATGTTTAATTTGAATCTTCCAAAGGATGCCATTTCTCAGTTCAGACTTCACACGGAAAGGTTTAAACATTTATGGCAATAGTTTATAAAAATTTTGTGTTTCAACAGTAACAATTAACTGATGTTTATTATTAGATTTAAATTAAAAACTGGTCCAAAGGAGCTTATGTTTGAACACCACGCTTGGATGAGCAGTCAATTCTCTACATTTGCAGAATTATTTGATGAGGCCATTCGTCAGGGATTACCTGCTGTTCAAACGCAACATCCGGGATATTACTTCCAATTAGCTGCCAATCATGCAAGCCTACGGCAATCTGCGTGCAAAGAACTTTGCCAAGTAAGAATAATTTAGCTTTTTGAATAAATTATGTTTCGTTTCTCTCTTACTTAAGTTTTAATATTATTTTAGAATATAAACAGCTATCCAGATCCAGATCCGTTATTGGGTGAAGAGAAACTCGAATTTTATGGACAGCGACCATGGCGACCTGGTAAATTAAGTGCAGAACCTGCGGACACGGCCAAGGAAGCTATCGGTATACAAGCGTTACAATACAGAGAAAAGACTGCAGTTAATCATTCTGTAAGATAATCGTGTACATATTTTTTAAATGAATATACGATAAGATTATTACAAGAAATATTTTATTAATTTATTCTTATTTTTTAGATGATAATTATTGGTTTACTAGGAAACGCGATATCACAATTCAAAGTATATCGTTGTCCAAGAATGCGACGATTATTAGGTACAATTTGTTTTTTTAAAATTTAGGAATTACTTGTATACTACTAATATGTTCATATAAAATAAATAAGATCTTTTTTCTTTTTTTACAGTTGTGCAAATGGCAGAAGAATATTTCAATGCTCGAGATTATGGCAAAGTTCTTACGTAAGTAATTAATTAATTTTTTCTTTATAATACAAGTTTCTAAAAAGAAAAGTTTGTCATTAAATGATAAAGTTGATGTTGACATTAGTTTATTTAAATTAATTAATTAATAAATAGATTAATAAATATTTAATTAAAATAATAATGATTACATTATTTTTTGCGTTAATATAAAAATTATAAAATTTGATTGATCAGATTATTGATGCACATGTTGTGGGAATATCATGGAGAACGATGGCCGGTCTTACTCACAGATATCATAAAGAATGCACTACGTGCCGCATATCTGTCGACCAGTATTCAAGATTATCTCACTCTGGCTCTCGAAGCTTTGGGACCTTCAACTACATTTTCAGAGGATCGGCAAGCTGTTATTTATAATAATATTATGAATATATTACAGGTAAGCTCAATAAGATATTTATGCTCCATTGCAAGATATATAATGATCTTTTCAAAAACTAATTTCTTTTCATATGGAGATTTACAAAAAAATGATTTTACTTTTGGTAACAGAAGAAACCACCGAATCCAGAGCCAGATTTGCCAGACGATGTTAAGCATCCTGCAATGGAGAAATGGATATTGGAATTAAATCGTTCGGAATCAAATATTTTTACAATTGATGATAATAACATGACATCATTCGTTGATCTTAAAGCACGGTTTTTGCAACAGACATATGCAGTGAACACAATGATAACGGTGGAAGTTATTATAAGGTATTTATATCTATTTTAATGTTGTAGTAATAGTATTGTAGTAATAGTATTGTAGTAATAGTAATGTTTTAAAAATTACTGGATGTAATTTTATCTCCTTAATTGCAGGAACTCTTACTGTGGTATCATTAAATTTTCTAATGCATCGATAACAGTTAGTGGGCCAGGTTACAATGCCGAAATTCCACTTGATGAGGCTCAACAATCTAATCTTATTTTTCAAGCAAAAGAAACAAAAAGTTTTACTTCAATTTTAAAGCGCCTCATCAAAATGATGGCGTAGAAATTCGCATCAGCACAGTTTCCTTGCAAATGGGCGATAATACACGTTGCAGTATTATGTTAAGATTCTCAGCTATGGGTAGAGAAACGAATTTATTGGATCGTTTGTATCCTGAAATACAACAACTTCGGTATGTTTATGAAAACTATTTATTTTGTAAATCATCTGAGAAGAATTAACATTTCTTAACATTATTTATTTGCATCAGTGGAGGAAAGTTTGAAGCAATAAGACCGTTAATTCATGCAGAAATTAAACAGGAGGAATCAAGTTTAAGTCTAGCTGCAGAGTCTAATAATCCTGCGCTTTTAGGCGAATGGCTACCCATTACAATATCCCTATCAGCTAATGAGAATGTTAATGTAATTTGTTTATATGTAATACTCGTGTCAGATGGTAGTAATGAGCAATCAAGTATGTTTATCCATTCTCATTATTTTATTCTTGATCTCTAAGCTTTATATTTCATATTTCATTTAATATCATGTTCTTTTTTCAATAAAGTCATTCTATAATTTCAGCTGAGTTAAGCATTAATATGCTTAGTAAAGAATCAAAAGTATCTATTCTTGTTGGTGATATGTTAAAAGGCTCCTCAGCCAAACATGTTGTACATATTAGAGCGCATAAAATAGGCGATAGAAATATTATAATAAAGGTACTCGTAAATAATTGTCTTTATAAATTGTTGTATAATGTGCTATTATTTATCATGATATATAATAGGCATTTATATAATAGGCAGATTATAATAGACTTGAACAAATTAGGGGAAGCAAAGAATTAACATATTCTTTGGCAGTTAAGAAACCATTCGAGGTTGCAACGCAATTTTACACTACGTTGTTCGAACCATTAACAAAAGGTTTTGTCAATGAATCCTTTATCATTATGCCGCATATTACATGTATTTCCCCATGGCCTATAAACATCTTGAGTACATCTATAGAATTGGTAAACCACTACAGAATATATAACTCGATTATCTTTAAAAGTTTGCGATTAATAAATTAGAATATTGTGATAAATCCAAATTTGAAATTAGGCAGATTCGATTCAAAGAGAGAACGAACTCGACAAACAGGAATCCATTTTAGCGGGTGTTAAACTCTGTGATGGCGAGACGGGGACTGACGCCTATTGCTTGATTCCAAAAATAGGCGGCGAGCAACCAATTAGTATTGGAGTATATACTATCAAGTGGAAAAGGTAAAAAGTAACCGATGAGAATTTATGGCGTAATATAGCCTGATCTTTAATCTCGATCGTTAATCTCTGTTTCATAGAGCAAACGACGAAACGGCATTGGAAACCAGTAGTAGTGTAACTTTGGCTCCCTTATGGGTCGAGGATGCGGTGATCGGATTGGAGGCTAAAATGCCAGCCCACGGATGGGTTCGCACGCCATTCTGTATATCGTATTTTATAAAAAATCATTCTGACTACCTTATCACTTTGCGCTTGGCTATGGAAGGTAGTGATGCGTTTATGTTTGCTGGACAAAAACAAGTATGTGATTCATGGTGGTATTATATATGATGTACATAATGATCCTATTGAATTTTTTTTTTAGGTGGATATTTACATATTGCCTAGAAACGTCAGAAGAGTTGATTGGGTTTTACGGCCGTTAGTCGCTGGTTTTGTTGCTCTTCCAACATTATCATTAACTGTACCTACAGGTAATGACATCTACTATATGTATTAGCTTAAATTTTTATACTTGATACATCACATCTATAATGAACAGATGAGGAACACAAACTGGGTAAAGGACGATTATCAGAAGTGATTGAACGTTCACTACCGAGTCATATATATATACTGGTAAGAATAAAACTAATATACTAATAAAAACATAATTTTGATAATACTACATTGTAATATGTTAAATTTTTGCAGCCGAAATCGCAGACTTTAGGAGAATAAATAAATTCAACATCAGGATTACTTTTTTTAAAAGAAAAATATTTTTCCTCCATTAAACTGTATTATAATATTATAATATACATTTTGCACAAACAATTATAATATAAATTGATACCATATATATTATTATTATTAGAAAAACATGAATATAAATTTTTCTTGGATTTATATAATTTATTTAAACTAAATGTTCTAAGTATTCAACAAACATGGTAACAATTACATTGCTATCGCTCTACAATTCATACATGCGTAAATATCGATCATAGGGATCATAGGGATCGCTTTTCCCATTTAATTCCCATACAGTTTTTCCAATCTAGTCTCCATCTAGTTTTTCCTATGTAGCCTCCACATAGTTTTTCCCATATAGCCCTCATCTAATTTTTCATAGCTAGTTCTCACATTGTTTTTCTCATGTAGCGCTCACATAGTTTATCCCATCTAGTTCCCACATAGTTTTTCCCATCTTCTTCCCACATAGTTCTTCCCATTTTCTTCCCTACACTAAGGTTTTTTTCCCCTACTTCCTAGTCCCTACATAGTTTTCTCATCTTCTTCCCACATAGTTCTTCCCATCTTCTTCCCACATTAGTTTTTCCCATCTAGTCCCTACACTAGTTATTCCCATTTCTTCCCTACATAGTTCTTCCCATCTTCTTCCTACCATTAGTTTTTCCCATCATCCTTCCACATTAGTTTTCCCATCTGGTTCCCATATAGTTTTTCCCATCTAGTTCCTACATAGTTTTTCCCATCTTCTTCCCACATAGTTTTTCCCATCTTCTTCCCAAGTAGTTCTTCCCATCTTCTTCGCACATAGTTTTTCCCATCTAGTCCCTACATAGTTATTCCCATTTTCTCCCACAT